ACCCGGGCCGGTCCGCCCTGCGCCGGCCCCACCTGCCTCGGGCCGCGTCCACTCCACAGTCCCACCAACCAACCGCCCAGGCCATACACGCCCGGCCGCCCGTACGGAGACGCCGCCGTCGCCGTTGCCGGACGTGACGTCAGGAAGCGCCGCCGGGGCGGTACACCTCCGAGGCGCAGCGTTTCTAGCTGCAGCACCTCGGGGCGGGGCCACTCAGAGAACGGCCAATGGGCTGTGCAGGGGGCGGGGTCAGCCCCCTGTTCTCTCGGTGCTGGGCCCGCCTCCCGAAGTTGCCCAGCAACGCCAAGCTGGGCTCCGGGTCCACGCGGGGTCGGCGCCGGGTCTTCGTCCGGCTCTGGCCGAGTCCCGTGGTTCCGGCGGCGCCCCCCCTTCTCCCAGACAGGAAGCGCAGCCAAGACGCACCTGTCTCCTCTTTATTGGCAGCCGGGAGTCCGGGCTGGGGTCTCCCTGCGCTTACATTTCCCAAGCCATGAGTGAAGAGCCCAAAGACCTCCCGGACACCCCAGGCCCTGTGCGCCCCGCTTGACCTTCGCCCCTCAGGGCAGAGGAGGTTTCCCGCCCGCCCTGCTCAGCCCCGGCTTTGCTCTGCCGGACCCAGTGGTCAGGTGGAGCCTCAGCGCCTGGTGTAGTCCCGGATGGAGGCCTGGAAGTGCTCCGTGCTGTCGAGATCCGGGCGGCAGAGGACCACAGAGCACTTGCAGAGAAAATAGCCGCTGAAGCTGCCACTCAGGCTGCTCACTGGGCATGGCCAACACGTTGACAGCCAGCAGGTACTCGCCCTGCTAGACGCTGGCAGTGGTGAAGAAGGCGATCCAGGACACAAAGTTGAGGAGCAGGCTGAAGGGGACACATTTGGCCTCACTGTAGATTTCTGGCAGGTCCTTGCCCAGGTAGCTGCAGGCAAAGGTGCTGACCGAGAGGAGGCCATTGTAGGTGAAAGCCAGTGTGAAGCCCGGTGAGTTTGCCTCGCTGCAATCAAGCACCACCAACTGAGGAAAGTGCTGATACTCCCTGGTGGGCAGTGGGGTCCACACTGCAAGCCAAATTCGGCAGATAAGCAGCTGGGCCACCGAGCTGATCACTACAAACAGGCCAGCCCTGTGGTGTTGGACCCAGGCATCATAGAAGGTGGGTACCTTGACAGAAGACTTTGAAGATGAAGATGCCTGGAAGGAACACATTGTAAGGCCGGACAGGAAGATAGCAAAACCGAGGGCAAAGAGGCCTTGGTGCAGCAAGCACGTGGGCAGCCTCGGCTCCCCAAAGCCATAGAGGCCGCAGCTGCCCCCTGCCAGGGAGCCCAGCAGGAGCAAGCAAAGCCTGCCCCCAGCCGACCTCACCACAGGGGTGTCTAAGCGCCAGGCAAACAGGCCAGCGGTCCAAGCCACAGGTAGTAGCAGCAGTGTATTAGCTACCAACAGCCCCAAGAGATGGGCTCATGCTAAGTCAAAAACACCACGGTGCGTGTGAAGCAGGTCTGGCTTCCCTCGGGCGCCCACTCTTCTTCCCCGCAAGGCTGGCAGTTGTGGAGGTCTGGAAGGGAAGGCGGAGAGGGCTCCTAAGAGCCAGGTGAGCAGAGCAGGAAAGGGCAGAAAGACTGTACAGGCCTGCGAGGGCTGGGAGGGCTGTACCACGGGAGCTGGGCTCCGCCGGGCACAGCGAGACAGGCATAGCCCTGAGCAGAGTCCAGAGGCTGCGTTTCCTCAAGGTGCCTAAGTTAATTACGATTCTAGAGACATGCGGATAGCTTCCATATGGCTCATGATCCCAGAAGGGATTTGCAGACTGGGAGGTCTTTAGGGAGGGCCTTTACCCCAGTAACTCTGCCCACACGCCAGTGAGGCTATGATCAATGCCAGCAGCCAGCCCGAAAGGAAAGGCATTTTCATCTCTCTCTCTGCAACTTCCACTAACCAAATCCACCTCCCTGTGGTGCCACTCTGTGCTTTCTCTGAGCTGACTCGCAGAGGACAGAAGAGATGCAGTTCTACACCTGCAGGGACGGTAAAATAATGTGGCCCCTGGAGTCCTGCTCTGGGCTGAGCCTTAGATATCTCAGTTCACTTTCTGATCTCGACCTTGCATCTCTGGGTGCAATATGCTATTTCTTTCTGCAGCAGACACTACTATCTGCAGTCGGACCAAGCTGTTCGAGGTGCTCAGGAAGCAAATGCTTGGGGCCTTGTCGGGCTTTGGCATGGATGATAGAGAGACTTTTTACATATAGCCTGGGAGGGTAGAATGAGAGCATAGCCTCATCTGTTTAGAGATTGAGTTTAGGGTAAGTTTGCATTGTAGGTGTTGGGTTGGGAACTGTCTAATAAAGGGGAAAGCTAGGCCTGAGGTTTTTAATTGGTTGTTTCTTTCTACTTGATTAGAATTTAGTCTGAGCAGCTACCCTCCAACCTGTACCTAACTGTCAGCAAAATGATCAGGGCCATGTTCTGGGGCCAGGTGTGCACACGTGTGGCCCAAGGGAGGTCCTTCCACCTGCTGTAGGAGTGCCGGGTCATCTGCCCATTCGCTTGTTCACTCACCGCTCTCATCGAGAAAGGTTCCAGCTTCACGGCACACACTCAAAGCAATGGTGGTGGAAACCCACAATCACTCACTGGTGCCCTTCAAGACAGTCACTGGAGCACACGGACTCAGGCACCTGCAAGAAGCCGCAGGTGTTCTGCAACCACATGAAGGAGCCCCAATCAAGGGATGCTCGCACGTGGAATGGAAAACAGAATTTCTGTGCATCTGCCCTGCTGGCTCACTCACAGAGCAGAGCCCCTGGTCGTGTGAACTGGTGGCCACGGGGCTTCCAACTGCCAGCCCGTGGAGCTTCCCTGGCAGGCCTGGGTAGAACCATGGCAGCCTGGTACCTGGGAGGCCTTCCTGCCCTGTGTAAGCTGTGTCAATATCGCCCCCAGACTCCAGGCTGCCCCTGAAATCATCACCTGGGGATGAGTGACCACATCCCAATTACCTGGTTGTCCTTGTCCTGCCACTGGATTTTGGTTTTGTTTATGTCCGGCTGAACTGGAGACCAGGTGGAGGAGCCGATGACCCTGAAAGTCCAGTCCCAGGCAATTATGTCATAGCTGCTGAGGGGGTCCCCATTGTCATTAAATGTCACAGTGTCCTGGGGTAGATGGAAATTCACCTTGCAGATCCACTCTAGAAGCTGAAATAGAAAGGGATCTGTTGTGATCGCAGACGACACAGGCTGGTCCTCCTCCACCCTCCCCTCCTCGACTCTCCCAGACCCTGAAGGCTCAGGAAGCAAATGCTTGGGGCCTTGTCGGGCTTCTATCTGGGCAATTTCAGCCTTTCTGGAGGTTCTTGTCCCTTTCCGAGAGCCCCTTCCCCTCCTAGAAGGCCCCTTGACGCTTGCAGCCAGCCTCCTGACTGAGAGGCCTCTAACAGAGGACCCCTTTACAAGGATTTTTAACCCTGGATCCGAGGTATGGTGGGTGGGAGGAGCCGAGGTTCAGGGAAGCTAAGAGAGGAATCAGTCCTCCGGTCAGCGGCCTTTGCCCCCCACCCCCAGCTCTTAGGGCCAAGGAGTGGTCATCCTGCTTACCTCGGGGAAGCACCCCGATACAGCATGCCAGGGGCTGGACAGCCTCACCTGCCAGGGGTAGACTTGGCCCCTGGAACAGGATCGGGAGGCACAGCCCAGGAGCTGGTGGAGGCCGTGGGCCACAGCGCAGACAGCCCGGGCCACGTTGCGGACGGGGCTCACGGAGAATGTTTGGAGAGTGGGCACATTCAGAAACAGCAAGACTCTGGCTGAGGGGGTAGGCAGAGGACCCTGGAGGCACGAGTCCTCCTAAGTGATGGCTCTGCTGAGCCTCACTCACCTGTCACAGAGGGTCACCGTGGGTCTGTGTCTCACCCCCAGACACTCAGCGTGCAGAGGGAACAGGCCTGCAACGAGGTAATCCCCAGGGAGGCTCAAGTCAAGAGAGGACTCCACATTAGGGCAGCCAAAAGCCCAGCAGCAGGAAAAGGGACAGCTGCAGGACAGCCAGGTGAGTAACATGCTGGCCTAACAGTCCCGTGCCTGGCATGGCTGAGCCGCACCCTCCGATGAGGTCAGGCTGTTTGAATAGAACACACTGCAGCTGCCCAGGTGCTTCCCAACTTCACGCCTGTGAAAGGGGTGGGGCTGGAACCCAGTGGTCGGAACCAGGCTGTTTGCCTTGGCTTCCGGGCCGACGGTCCTACTCAGGAACTGGGCAGGGTGCCAGCACAGATGCAAACCAGGCAGCACCCACTGATCCTTCCTCTGCCCGGTTGTGGGTTCTGCCCTTGCTCTGGTGCCTATGGCTTCGGAAAGGAAGCCCTGGTCTTTTTTTGAGGAGGAGTAGGGGGAGGTGCGGGAGGCAGAGGAAGGCAAGGACACTGCTTCTCTGGGGGCCTTGGGGACACGGTGTGAAGAGTTGCTAGCAGGGAGATGTGGATTTTAGAACCTCTACCGAGGCCTCCGTTTACCAAGTGAGACTTGGCTTTGAGTTGAACTCCCTCCTAGCTCTCGGTTTTCTGACACTGAAATTCTTGAGTTTATCATCGTGGTTTTGCCTTGTCGTCCAGGATTGCAACCTTAAGCCCAAAGACAAATGCATGCAAAGAGGATATGCAAATAGACGGGATTTGTTTAAAGCACCAGTCCTGGAGCTTTTTCTGCAGGAAGAAAACCATACCAGCTGAATTTCTGGAGAGGTGGTCCGGACTTGGCGTGGGGTATCTGGCTTTCCCTCTCGTGGTGGCCAGGGTGCGCTTTTGCCTAATGTAAATGGAGACTGGTCAGTGGTCGCCGAGGCATCAACCCCCAGAGCCCCTGCGGATGGGAGCCTCTGAGGGGGCGGCTGAGGCCCGGGTGCACTGCTGGGACCGCCCGCAGAGGGCGCTCGCGGCTCCCAGGCCGCCCCTTTCAGCAGCTTGACGGGCCGCGGGGCGGAGCGACGGGGTCTCGCGAGATTCCCGCGCGGCAGGCGCCGGCAGCCAGCATGGCGGACTCGCTGCTGCTGCAGACCAAGCGGGGGCTTGTCCGCTCCACGTGGAAACGAGCCCGCAAAGCCCGGCCCCAGCTCATCCTCAGCCGCCGGCCTCGCCGCCGGCTCGGGACTCTGCTGCGCTGGTGCGGCCGAAGGCGCCTGCGGCGGAGGCTGCTGCAGGCCCAGGCGGCCGGCGCGAACTGGCGGGAGGGCAGTTGCCCGTTGTCGCGCGCAGCGGCGGCCCAGAGGCCCAAGACCGCAGCCCCCAGCCCGGCCCCTAGCCCGACCCCGGACGAGGACCCCGCCGAAGGTGGCTCCGCGACCCTCCCCATCCCGCCGTTGCGGCCGGCCGGCCCGGGTCGCGCGTTGCTGCTGCTGCCGCTGGAGCAGGTGAGTCGCGCCGGGAGAACCTGGCGAGTGGAGAGGGAGGGGCTGAGACGCAGCCTCGGGGGTGGCAGGCCGTGTCCCTTCTGCGGGTCCTCGGGCCACTAGTCATAAGCGCATTCCTCATGGCGGTGGTACTGAGCAGAGGGTAACGAGGACTCTGCTGAGGGCATCTAGCCCTTCAGAGCCGAAAGGGACTGTGACGGTACTAATAGGTCGCATTTACTGGGTACTCAGTACTGCCAGGTTCTACGTTTTCTAAGTGCTTTTTGGGGAGTGAATGAACCCATTTAATACTCCCAGCTCACATGGAGTCATTATTGCTTGACTATGAATGTTTACAGAGGAAGGAACTGAGGTTTGGCTTAGGCAACTTGCCAAAAGGTATACAGTAGAGCCAGAGCTAGGATTCAGACCCAGGTGGCCTGGTTTTAGGGCCCCTGCTCTTCACTTGGACTCCCATCTGGGAGTCCCCCTCCAATACAGGAATGAAGTGAAAACCAAGAACGCAGGGACTTGGCAGGCAGTGGGCCTTCTAAGGACAGAGAGCCATGAGAACAGCAGAGCCCAGTTCATGGGATCCTCTGATTTTTCACGTGTCAGTGTTCACCAGCTATATCTGTAGCTGCCATGGGATGTGGTCTTAAGTCAAAAATATTAAGTCCTCGATAGTCACCTAATACAATGTATTCTGTTATGTAGAAATCTGCCACCTTTTGATATGTGAATAGCAATTAAAGCTTTAGAAAGTTTCAGTCATTGGTCACAGAATCTTTAATGTTATTACTTTCTTTTTTTTCTTTCCCTGCTAGGGTTTTACTTTTAGTGGGATGTGTCGTGTGACTTGCCTTTATGGCCAGGTGCAGGTGTTTGGTTTTACCATTAGCCAAGGCCAGCCTTCCCAAGATGTCTTCTCTACCTATACCCACTCTCGCCTCACTATCAATGCAGTTCATTATTCGATGCCTGAGAAAAGCAAGAAGGAGATGAAAAGGGAAGCCCGAACTTTGCTCAGACCTCATCTTAACCAGGGTAATGAAAAAAACCGGGTCATTTACTGAAGATGTACTGTAATAAGGCTAATTATTTTTAGAGGTGTATCGTGGCCTACACTTTGCACACTTTACTATATTATTCAAACCTTCACAAGGGTCCTGAGAGTGAAACTCTTGTTTTCACCATTTTACAGATGAGAAAGGTTGCCTGAGGCCACTCAGCTAGTATGTGGCAAACCTGGATGACTTCACCCAGGTGTGTCCCTATTATGCAGTATGGCCTCCTAAAAAAAGGCTCTCAAACGTAATTCCTACTCTTGAAAAGTTTACGCTCTAGCTGAGGAAATGGTGGCCCTAAAGGGCATAGAATTTAATGGAGTTACTATTCTAAGGTAGTTTGTTTTTATCTTTACAGATGACAGATGTTGGTTGATGAAGAATTTTTCTCCTCTGTGTTCAATTGTGATGCTAGAAAATCTGAAAACCTCCACTGTAAACTTCATAATCAGCCATCCGGGTTTATCTTACATTTTTGTACAAGAGGTAAATCAGTTTTCATTCAGAGTTTTGTTAATTACTTTCACCAAAACGGTCATATCACATGACTTATGTGGGATGCTCCCTTGGAAGATACAGAATGTAATGCATGTGTACAGTAAAAAGAGTATAGAAAGGTATATCATTAAAAATGTCTCTTCTCCCCTACTCCCTTAGTTTCGTTACCCCACGAAAGCCATTATTTCGTATCGTAGTTGATTAAATGCCTTTTGGCATTTTCTGAATGGTTATCTTCATATCTTGATTTATTAACTTGAGACAGTTTAAGTTTTCTCTAAACTCCGAATGAGTAATTTTCATGTTCTTATACTTTCTCCCGTCTCTTCTCACCTCTAAATTGTGCTGGCCATGCTATTAATTTCCTGAAGTCAAGTCGTTACTATAATTGTCTCTCATGAGCCAGTAAATTGAGTCTAATCAGTAGGTTTATTGGACAGACTGGATGTGAGGCATGAGGACGGATCAAGGACTAACAACAGGCGTTTTAGGCTAAGCTCCTGGGTGCTTGGAGTTGCCTTTGACTGAGAGGGAGCACCTGTAGGAGGAGGTGTCAATGTGTTAACTTTGGGGTGCCCGTTAGACGTTCAGTGGGAGATGTCCAGAGTCTGGAGTTGGAAATGTGAATTTGGGAGCTTTCAGCTGCAGAAGAGGGTTCAGAAGGCCTTGCGGTTGAGATAACAGCACCAAGGAAGTTGATACAAATGGAAACAGGAAGATTCACGGTCTGAGCCCCAAGGCTCTCCCAAGAGCAGGTCTAGATGTGGGAGTCACAAAGAGACTGAGAAGGGGTGGCTGTTGCTGTCAGAATTTGAAGGCTGCTCCCTTGTTTCTAGAATCCAGAGTTGCTCAGAGGAAGTCTTAATGCCGGCTGATTCTCATTGCTTTGATGTTTTTGATGATGAGTTGCATTAGGATGGGATCCTGATGGGTCTCTTTCCTTGATCCTCTGTGTACAGAGGCCTTATTTCATCTGAGCCCCACCTGCTTCTGCTGGGACCGAGCTCTTCCATTCTTTGGGTTGCTTTCCCTCGGTTTCCTGGTACTTCTGCCAGAATACCATTGGATGTCGTGGACCTGTCTTCCACATCCTGTCAACTCTGTCTGCATATATCTTTTGTCTTCGCTTTGTTTTGGGAGATCGCCTTGACTTTATTCCCAGTCACCGACCTGCTCTATGACTGCGGTGTTCTATTGCATTTTTCTTGCAATAGAAAAATCACTTTTACATTTCCACACTCTTTTGCTTATTTTTGGAGTGTCCTGCAGAGGTGATGGCAGCTGGGAAGTAAGCATGAGCTATGAAAGCAGACCTGGATGATTTGGGGAGGAGAATCGACAGGGCTTATTTAAGGGCTGGTTTTGGTGGGGTAGGGGGATGAGAGGAAGGGAGGGATCAAATTTATCTTTCGTTGCTCACAACTATATGAGGTTTTTTAGAACTGAAGAAAAGAAGTGTATTTGTTTTCACCTTTTCTAAAAGCTTATGTTGTTAATTTCAGAGTCCGACTTTCCAGATTAACTCCGAGTATTTTGCCTTGAGGTCTGTTGGCATTAGAAAAGAGAAGAAAAAAAACGGCCTTCGTTTAACTGAGAGTGCCCTTTCAGCCCTGGAGGAGTTAGTCAACGTGTCTTGTGGTGAGTGACACATATTGACAAATTGGAGTGTTTATGATTAGAGTCCTAGAGAAGATAGCTAATCTAGGATCAATGTTTGTTTCCCCTCCAGAAGAGGTAGATGGCTGCCCTGTCATTCTGGTCTGTGGGTCTCAGGATGTCGGAAAGTCAACGTTTAATCGCTACCTGATTAACCAGTTGTTAAATAGGTGAGGCCGTTTCATTCTCGTTTTCACACGTTGCTGGATTGGGGGCAGGAAGTAGAAGTTTTGATTTAAGAAGCCGGATGGGACTGCGTCTAGACTTCTAAGCAGAGGTTATTTACAGCTCTGTGCTGAGCTGCTCAGCTGAGTGATGGCATCGTCTGTTACACTGCATTTTGGGATGAGGTGACAGTGCTCTCAGTGTACTGACCTTGCCTGTCAGTAGCTTTCAAGAGGAGTCACTTGGCCTCAGAATCTATTCTTTGTCCTTATCCGGAGATTCAGAATAGGGATAAATTCTCTTTTAAAGATAAAATTTTAGGAAAGACGAGGTCGTACCTGTATGATGAGTGGACATTGACCATACCTGCATCACATTTTCTCTACATTTATTTATTTTTTATATGGATCGAGCATCCCACCTAAAAGCCTGCATAGGATGGATTATCACTGTGTGTCGCATAAAATCTTTAAGATCTGATTTACCCTCTTGACAAGGTAAAGCTAGCTAAGATTTTCTTTCTTTTAAATTTTCAGCATTTCTTGTGTTGACTATTTGGAATGTGATCTGGGACAGACAGAATTTACTCCTCCGGGTTGCATTTCTTTACTTAATATTACAGAGCCAATTCTAGGTATGTATTATGTATTTCTTAAATGTCTTGGTGTTAAAAATGCGAAAGTAATACTTAAAACAACCTCAAGGATTATAAAATATGAAAAGTGAACATCCCCCACCAAACTCATTGTCTTCCTGTAACTATTGCTCTAGCCTCCAAAAAAAAAACCAAACCTGTATTTTTCTAGGATTCCATTGGAAGTACTGTCCATTTTATTATATGTAAATTAGAGGCCCACCTCCTCCAATATTAACATCTATATACAGTGATCTAAACTAGGGATTTCACATTAATATAATACTATTAATTACTAAACTATACAGTTTATTCAGAATCCACCAGTTATCCTACTAATGTCCTTTTTATGGTTCAAAATCCAAACCAGAATCCCACGATACTTTTTAGTTTTTATGGGAAAATATGCATAACATGACATTTATCATTTTAACCGTTCATGTGTGTACGATTCAATAGCATTAGGTACATTCACAATGTTGTATAACCATTATCTATATCCAGAACTTTTCGTCATCCCAAAGTGAAACGTTTTACAGCAATCCCCCCTTATCTGTGGGGGACACGTTCCAAGACCCCAGGGGATGCCTGACACCGAGCATAGTACCGAAGTCTGTATGTACTGTTTTTCTACACACACACCTGTGATAAAGTTTACGGCTTCTCTTTGGCACATCCGAATTGCCAGCATCACTGCCCTTTTCGCTTTGGGTCGTTATTAAGCAAATAAGGATGACTTGAACACGGGCACTGCGATATTGCTGCAGTCGATCTGACAACTAACGAGCAGGTATACAGCGTGGACAAAAGGATGATTCATGGGACAGAGCCAGATTTCATCATGCTGCTCGGAACAGTGTAGTTTTAAACTTATGAATTGTTTATTTCAGGAATTTTTTTCTGAAAAATTTCAGACCACAGGTGACCACAGTTAACTGAATTGAGGAAGACGAGACGGCAGATACAGGACTGCCCTTTGGAGAAACACTAATTGCTCCCTCCCACCCCCCTCCCCTGCTACAAACCCCTGTTCTGCTTTCTGTCCCTTATGAATTCACCTATTCTGGTTATCATGTATAAGTGAAATCGTACAGTATTCATCCCTGTGTGCCTGGCTTTTTTTGCTAAGCAAAATGCAAGCATATTACAGCGTATATTGAAACTTAGTTCTTTTTTTTATGACTGAATATTATTACGTTGTATGCGTATATCACTTTTTATTTGTTTAACCACCGACGGACCCTTGCACGGTTTCTGCTTCGTGGCTGTTGTGCGTGGCATTGCTCTGAACTTTGATGTGCAAGTATCTGCTCAGATCCCGCTTTCGGCTCTCTCAGGGCGGGGCTGCTGGGTCATTTGGTAGTTCCACATCAAACCTTTTGAGAAACTGCCAGCCTTTTTCACCACAGCTGCACCGTTACATTCTCACCACCAATGTGCAAGCGTTCTGATTTCTCTGCACCTTCAACAATACTTGTCAGTTTTGATTACAGCCATCCTGTTGGATGTGGAGCGATGCCTCATTTTGGTTTCGATTTGCATTTTCCTGATGATTAGTGATGTTGAACATCTTTTCATGTGCTTATTGGCCATTTGTATGTTTGCTTTAGAGAAATGTCTATTCAAGTCCTTTGCCCATTTTTGAATTAAGTCGTTTTTGTTGACTTTCGGGAGGCCTTTATATATTCTGAATGTTAATCTCTTATCAGATACACGAATTGCAAGTATTTTCTCCCATTCTGTAGGTTATGTTTTTGCTTTCATGATACTGTCCTTTATTGTACGAACATTCTTAATTTTTGTGAAGTCAACTTACTGATTTTTTTTTATTGCTTGTGCGGTTGGTGTCATAGCCATGAAGTTGTTGCCAAATCCAGTGTCATAAAGACTTTCTGTAATGCTTTTGTCTAAGAGTTTTGTGAGTTTCAGTGCTAACATGTAGGTCTTTGATTCCTCCCCGTCCCCAGCAGAGAGAAGGGTATATTTGTCAGGCAGCCAGCCAAGGAGACCAGAGAGGAGGCTCAGATCAGTCTCCCTGATCCAGGGTTCCAGGCGAGTTTTTAAAGGTTTAAGGGGAACAAATATGCGGAAGCGCTGGCGGGGCAGGTCTTAATTAGTGGAACTTGGCCATTTATGGTAAAGGGCTTCAGCACCAGATTATCCTGCACAGCCTTCCGCTGCTGAAAGGTTCTGGTGTTCCAGTTCCGGTTGCTTATGTCCCTGTCCCTTGGTTGGGTCAGGAGGAAGGGAGGGATGACTTTGGTTCCAGGTGCAGCTGGAGGTCAGAGCCTTCTCTGCGCATGCTTCGGCTGCATGACTTGCGGTTTTGGTCTGTTGTCTCTCGTTTGATCCATTTTTGAATACGTTTTTCTGCATGATACAGGGAAAGGATCCAGTGTCATTCTTTTATACGTGGAAAGCTAGTTTTCCAATCACCATTTGTCGAAAAGACCATCTTTGCCTCATTGAATGGTGTTGGCACCTTTGTCAAAAATCATTTGACCATACATACATGCAAGGGTCTTTTCCTGGGCTCCCTGGTCTGTTGCATTGCTCTGTGTCTGTCATGCGGTCACCACCTCTCTTAATGACTATAGCTTTGTAGTAAGTTCAAAGCTGGGCAGTGTGGGTCCTCCAACTTGATTTTTCAAGGTTGTTTTGGCCTTTCAGGACCCCTTGCAATTCCATATCAGTTCGGGAATTGGCTTTTCCATTTCTGCAAAGAAAAGGCTGTTAGAATTTTGACAGGGATTGTGTTGAATCTGCACTGCAGATTGCTGTGGGTGGTATTGACATTTTAATGTTAAGTCTTCCTATCCATGAACACAGGATGTTTTCCCAATTTTTTAGGTCCTCTTTAATTTCTTTAAGCTATGTTTTGTGATTTTCAGCATATAAATGTCTTTCATTTCCTTGGTTGGATTTATTCCTAAGGATTTAATTCTTTTAGCTGTTATTGTAAATGAGATTTCTCTCCTAATTTCCTTTTCAGATTGTTCATTGCTGGTGTATAGAAGCATAACTGATTTTTGTGTGTTGATCTTGAACCTGCAACTTTGCTGAATTCTTTTATCAGCTCTAGTGGCTTTTCTGCAAATTCTTAAGGATTTTCTACATATGAGACCATGTCACCTGCAAATAGAGGTAGTTTTACCTCTTTCTTTCCAATTTGGGTGCTTTTTCTTTCTGTTTCTGGTCTAATAGCTCCGATAGGACCTCTAACACAAGGTCGAGTAGGAGGAAACACCCTTTTCTTGTTTACAATCTTAGGGAATTCAGCCATTCTTCCACCATCAAGTTCGAGGTTAGCTGTGGGTTTTTCGGTTTCCATTTGAAAGATTGAAGAAGTTGCCTTCTAATCCTAGTTTATGGAATGGTTTTATCCTGAAAGGATGTTGGATTTTGTCAAATGCTTTTTCTGTGTCTGTTGAGATAATTGTGTAATTTTTGTTTAGTTGACTTTTAAAGAAGCTGATGGTATCATACTAGGTTGCTAGGCATGTTAGGGGTTTAACAGACTTTCTGTCATTAAGAAGTCGTAAAACATATTGTTTTAACAGCTTTATCAAAAATAATTGTTGACGCTTTTTAGCTGGTTTCATTGTTTCTTTTTTTTCTCTCTAGTCCATTTAATTTTTTTCTTCACCCCTTAATATTTCAGTGGGTATTTCTAAAAACAAGGACACTCTGCTACATAATCATAATACAACCACCGAAATCAGGATAGTAACATTGCTACAGTACTGTTCCGTTACTTGAATTTTGTCCATTGTAGACAGAGCTGATTGTCCCAGTCATCTGTATAGGTCCAGTGTATCATCATAAATCTTTAGTCTCCTTCAGTCCGGAACAGTTCCTCCAGCTTTTCTTATCTTTCCTGACCTTGACAGTTCTGAAGAGCACGTTTATAGAATGTCTCGCGGTTAGATCAAGAAGCGATGCTGTGTTCTCAGTGCATCCTAGCAACATGTGACCAAAGGTGCTGGCTTGGATCACTAGGTTAGGACAGTGTTTGCTGGGTATTCCACTCTCACTAACTAGGTGTGCTAATTTCTTCTGGGTGTCATCGCTTCCAGGTCCCCTCCGTGGACAGATCCCCTCAGTAGACAGAGCTAGGAAATACGTGCATGTTTAAACCCACACACACCACGCGTGTATCTGTGTGTATGCATATGCGCACACACCTTTTCTGTTTATGAAGCGCCATGAGTCTGCACCACTCGTTCAATTCCAGGTTCGTTCTAGTTAGCCTTCCCCCTTCCACATCTGTAAGTTCCTTCTCTGACGGTGAGAACTCCGGCGACGATTTTTCTCAGTATACTTACGCAGTTGGCAAAGGTCCTCTGTATTTGTTCAGTCCCTCAACTACGCAGGCCACTCTCAGCTGTGCGCCACCCTGAATCCCCTGGCCACAGTCTTGAGGGGAGTTGCACTAGCTCTGCCCCAAGTGGTCTTGCACCACCCGACCACATCGACCAAGGCCCTTGCCCTGCTGACCATGTTGTCACATGGTCCTGGTCACCTCCTGCCGAGCATTCTAGCCCTGGCTCTGACCACAGGAGATGGGATGTGGCTCGGACTGGGCAGACTGGTGGTGTGATTAGGGAGTGTCAGCTCCAGGGGTAACTCAGCCACTGGAGTTCAAGCCCAGCCAATACCTACTAGCTGCGCGACCTTGGTCTAGTGAATCTTTTTCTCAATTTCCTCATCTGTAAAAATGGGGATAATGACACTACCTGCTTCGTAGGGTTCTTATGAAAATTAGACACTATGTGTAACATACCTACAGCGAGGTAAGCTCTGTATTCCAACGAATGATCACTGTTATAGTCACCCTGTCTTTGGAATGTGAGCCCTACAAGGATGGAGATGTTCGTTTTGTTCGCACATAGCCGGTTGTCGGTAAATGTTCACTGAATGAACGGCCTCATTAGGACATGACTGGGGTTAACTGCATGTGACAGCGAGTATGTCCTTAGAGTAAGTTGAAAACTTCGTGTTCCGGAAGTGTGAATACATCTCTTCCTGGGGGCAGGATGGTCTCAGCTTTCCTGTGGATCTTTGCCGGGATAATGGCCGACCTCGCCACCGTGTAGTTATGGATCGATTACTCTTACCTCTGTCTCTTTGTCTTCTCAGGACCACCTTTCACCCACCAGAGGACACCACAGAAAATGGTGTATTATGGGAAAGCTGCTTGTAAAAACAACTACGAGAATTACATTGAGATCATAAAGTATGTGTTCAGCTCCTACAGGAGAGAGTCCCCTCTTATCGTCAACACGATGGGCTGGGTGACAGGTAGGCCCACAGAGACACATCCGGCAGGACCGGGATGGGTGGTGTGAATAAGCTTTTGGCTTTTAGGCGTTAGTCCCGGAGCCCAGCTTTGAGGAGATTCTTCTTTTTGACCATTGATTTGTCTCAAAATAAGGTACCAGTTTTCCGTAGCGGCGTGTTGCTCCTTTGGTGCACTAACCGTGCCGATGTCGTCTCCTTCCTCCCAGACAAAGGGCTTTTGCTTCTCATCGACCTGATCCGATTGCTGTCTCCCAGCCACGTCGTTCAGTTCAGTTCTGGCCGAAGTAAATATATGCCAAACCTCACCCCCGACTACGTGGACGACATGGACGGCTTGTACACAAAGAGCAAGTCCAAAGTCAGAAACAGAGGTTTCCAGCTGGCAGAATTTGCAGAGAGTTTGGAATTTGCTGATGAAGACAAGGAGAGTCCGCTTATGTTTACTGGACATAAACTGATGTGCGTCCAGTCGGACTTTGCGTTTAGAAAAACTCCAAGAAATAGGTAAATAGGTTATCGTGGCTAGAGAATTAAGTTTTCTTCAGTTTAATAAGGCCTTCTGTCCTCAATTCTTTAAAAGGAATAAGTCCTCTAAAATTTTTCAACTTTCTATCAGAGCTGTTTCTGTATGAAGGAGAATCAGTTATTTTCTGAACTTTTATTTTCCCAATGGGACCATCCAGAGTGGCCTCCAGCTCTGGTGGCCAGGAGCTTTGACTAGAAGGAGAGTCTGTCCACTTCATGTTTTTCCATGGGGTTTATATATAGAAAGGCAGAGTGTGCAGATACTAAGGTGTAAATCTAGTCTGTGTAAGTAATGACAGATGCACTCTGTTTCTCAGCGGGAGGTGGACCTGTAAGCTTGAATCTCTACTTACCCTGTTCTAATTTACTTTTCAGAGACTCGCATAACAGAATTCTTCGCGACTTGGCGGTGTTGGGTTACCTTGGCCAGCTGCAGCCCCCAGTGCCGAAACCACTTTGTCCCTTACATGGTCTGACACCGTATCAGGTAACCTGAGCTTGTGGCGGGGATCGTCTTTATTTTGTTTACTTAGCAAACACTTCTGTGGCTTCCTGTGTGCTGAGCGTGCCTCCAGCCACTGTGCAACTCTTTGCTTGTTTAATCCTCAGAACAGGCCTACGGTGTAGGTCCTGTAACTGTCCCCATTTGGCAGATGGCAGCTGAGGAACCCAGTACAAGTGGCACAGCTGGCATCAGACCCAAGCAGTCTGGCTCCCGGGTCCGTGCTCTTAACTGCCGTGCTGGGCTGGGCACGGCTGTGGTTCCGCGCCGCCTAATCCCAGAGGTGGCCCTGGGCTCAGACCCAGGCAGTCCGGCTCCAGCACTTCCGCCTCCGAGTCGCGTGTGACCCAGCTTGTCATCTGTGGAGCGGAGGCAGTACCTGAGTGGGTGACATG